TGAATGATGGTTTTACTTGAAGTTGCAAAACCAAGGTTAGGAAGCAAAGTTTATTATAGTGAAAAACGATTCCATTCATTTTATCCTCAAAATATATATTCACGAAGATGATCTAATAGGTCGCAAGCTTTTCACTTCCAGAGCAATCCAACACACGACAATACGTCACGCTCACGACTCCGTCTGATTTAACCTTAGGCTGTTTGGATTTCCATTGCAAAAATCATGCAGAGAACAATTCGTCGCTTGGAGCACTGGATTCTCTGCTAGCCAAATTGTAATCAAGTGAAGACTGCAATGTGTAAGTTACAGAAACAGCAGTAGAAATAGTCGACACTACAATCAATCGACGATGACAAGAGGGCTTAATTAGCGTACATTTGCTATGATTTGGGCAGGTAGGGAGGCAGGAAAGCAGGCAGTGCGAGGGAGAGAGCGTGTGTGTACGCGTGAGATAGTATCAGTTCCCTAATGTCAGTGCGTCGAATGCGAGAAGGGGAGGAGTAGGAGCTTACTTTGCTTCGACTTGCCTTACCCTCTTCCCCCATTCTCTCTTCTCCCTCTAGCCCTCTTCCTGTTTCCAGGCATGAGAAGATACCTTTGGGGTGAGCGCAAGTAAGAGTATTCTATATTACCGGACTTCCGCACTGGTGTGTACGTGTGTGTGCGTGCGTATGTCTATCATACCGCAGATCGTATCTTACCCAACCCACTCAATTTCATTCAACCCATTTTCAATTCCATCCTACCTCTGTTCATCTTTAAATCAAATCATCATTACGTCACCTCCTAAATTAATGTCACTGCTTATCCCTTTTCGAACCCGGCATTGTATCCGCACCGTAAATAACCCGCAAAAAATAATACCAAGTAGTAAGCATTAAAAAAGGAACTGTGCAATAAGGATTCATAGTTGTGCGACCTCATTGATCTGCTTAAGGGTGTGCTTTAGGTTCAGATAACATTCCTTCTATTCCAATTATCAAAAAAAGGGAATGGATGCAAAAATGTGGTGCATACTGGTATGGTGTCAAACCCAAACTCTTTCCAGAGGAGATTGACAAATTTTTAGAATACTGGTGGACGGTGCGTGCGCCTATGTATCACCTTCGCATCGAACCCGCATGAGGACCAACTACCGAAGTTCCGGGCACCTAAACATAAAACGGAAATGCGGGCTTCAAATGATATCTGCTTCCTGGGAAAAATTTCGATTTCCATCTGATAATGAGGTGCTAGTATGCACGGAAAGTTAATTCCATGCTGGAAGTAGTCAAGCATTCCTTTGAGGGGCAAATGTCAATCGGTTATGTGACCGCATAATGGAGGTTAAAAATACATGATGGTTGTAGAATGTTAGCAAATATCTGCCGAAATTGGATAGCCAGCCATGGACACGATATAAAGACGAGATTTACTGCCAATTACCATCGGACTTGTAAGGACTAAGAGCATTCATCGTCAGGGGCAATTAATATAAAGAAATTGATGTTTCTGGACCGTACCACACTAACAGCATTATTAGTAATACTAATAAACAAGGTATAGACGGTGCCATAAAGTGTTTGTTAGAGCTAAGTTTCCTTATCGTAATCACTTATTTGTTGAAAGTTAAGCTCAATTACGCAAATAATGCTTTCCTTTGACGCTAATTGCATCGTAGCCTTGAAAGGCGGTATTGAAAGCATGATCGAATTCGTTTCGTCTTAGAGGTCATAATTGGACTGAATTTTCTTCTGCGATTGTTTTCGATTTCCTAGGCGTAAGTTGGTGCTAACCTAGAATAAACGAAACGTTGACAACAAAATCAAGTGGACTAGTACTGGTAGTCCTTCAGATTTTCCATCCAAACGGCTATTGCACAAGTGGTGCGCACTTAATGGGGGTAGAAAGGTGATAATGATGATGGTAGCGATTGCAAAGAATTTCTTTCCAAGTATCTGCTGGAGCTTGTCAGTGGCATCCGACATGCTCTCGTTTGACTGGCGATAAAGATCAAGAGAGGCGGGGTCATCGAAACCCTCCCACCCTTCCTCCGCTTTGGCCATAGAACCATAAAGCGGTTAACACAACATCCTCGAGGTCAATAGACCCTACGCTCTTCTCCTCCCTGCGAGCCACGTAAGCGGACCGATAGTAGGTCGAAAAACGACCAAAAGTTACAAAATATCAGCCATAAAATGAGGAGATAAAAGTGCGAAGCTTTCGGGGAACAGGAAGGCTAAGGGAAGGGAAAGAGCCAATGAGTTATGACTTTCATGGTATTCTGCAGTTTTAAAACTATTTCAAAGTTTTACATCATCGCGGGTCAGTTCAGTGCTGTGACGACCCGGGGAAAATCAATGACTCACAAACGTGCCTTTAGCACATATCATTTTGACTGAATGTATGAAAGTCACGCTTTATTTGTGACCCTTGCTAATCAGAGCACAACACACTGAAGAATTACACCTGTGAGAAGGTGAGGTAGCTTTTGGTAAGCTTGTTTTTGTAACCACTTTAGCCACAACACATGGCTCACGCAGCCGACACAGTCCCCCTCCTGCAAGGCCACCCCGTCGATCCACGGTGGTCGCAAGAGACACTCTACCCAGGTCACCCGGCGTTCCAATGCGTGAGCTACCATCAGCCTCCACTCTCTCGTCCAGACTCATTCCTTCCTCAGGCCGCTCCTTCAGGCAGCAACTTTAATGGCTACCGTCAGGAATCCGCCTATCCTCAATCCCGGCAGTCTTATCCGAATGGATACACAGACGTTTTCAGCACAAATAACCAGCAGCTTCACCAACAATCACAATCTCAACAGCAGCAACCGCAACAACAGCAGCAACAACGCGAATCTTCCAGTACATTGACTCCGCCCTCTACTAGTTCCTCACCGGTCAATGAAGCAAAGGCGTCCAACGGCCATCAACAGCCTCCACACCCCAATGATGAGGTAAATCTCACGACAAGGACGAATAACAAACACTTGGAAGCAATGCTATGGATGCGCAACAACTGGAAGCCACACCATCAGCCTCCGGAGAACCTCCTTCAGTACACCAAAGAAGCGTTGTTTGGACTATGTGATACTCAGGATGCCAGATACTGGCAACATCAGCAGCCAAACCCTTGGGAAGTGAAAGCGCCTACTCCATCGTCCTCGATTGGAGAGCAGGAGGCTGTAAAACGGAGCTCTTATGAGTATCACCAGAGTGCCTACCAGCAGGGCTACTACGAAGGTGGATGTGTGACTAATTACAAGGCAGAGTCTGCGAGCAGTCCAGAGCCCACTTCAATGGCAGCCGCCTACCACTCCGCTGCAATGGCTGCAGCGGCGGTGGTGGCACAAGCGGCAGCTTCAGGAAAATCACCATCGCACCAGCAACAGCAACAGCACCCTTCCAACTTTCTGGCGCCTCCGTCTGCCAACCCTCTTCGTGTTGCCGTTAGTGGACTCTCAGCCAGTGGTCGACTTTCGAAAGGAAAAAAGTTGTCCATAACCGGTCAGGAAAAATTAAGTTTTTGAATTTGGACAAATTTATTTCTTCCAAGGAATATAGACGCACATGTTACCTTTTAGAGGGTCGAGAATGTGTAAATTGCGGAGCTACAACAACTCCTCTTTGGAGGAGAGATGGTCAGGGGAATTACTTATGCAATGCTTGTGGACTGTACCAGAAAATGAATGGGCAAAACCGTCCTCTGATTAAGCCGAAACGAAGATTGGTAAGTTATTGCTTATCAGCTCTTTGTGAAGTGTGGATAAAAGAACTAATCCAAATCTAGCGTTTGAAAAGCGTCGATGTCTGAATTGGCACATTTGAATGTACAACACTAAGGAGTTTATGCGGATATTAATCTTTGCGTTGTGTTTGAAAGAGTGCGGGGTAAGTACAGAGCAGATATTTCCTGATGGTGGTATTCTGATAAAGGAACGGAAGTGGTAGTAAGCACGTCTCATTGTCAAGACCGGACCACAGGAAACACATCAGGCTGGGGTGGCTCTAACTTAAGGAGACAGGAGGATAGGGAATAATAAGGTCACCTCCGGAAACCACATATAGACATACAGAAATGCAGAGGGAGTGGTGTAACCATATCATTCCCACCAATCAACATAAATGGACAGTGGATTTTTATCGGAGACTCACGCAGTCACCACCGAAAACAAAGTTTTAACTACCTAGACTTATTGTGCTAACGAAGACAAATACAAGAGTGAGTTTAAACTCATAAAAGAGCAGAAGCTGAAGACCATCTGTGGGAAGGGGAACTCGGTTTGGAACCCGCATACAAACTTTGACATAATGATTTGACATGCTGATAGGAGAGTGTGGTTAAGGTGACGTGTTTGTTTGTATAGTTGAATTGGTAAACTTCATGCACCGTCGGGTGTTTAAAGGGCCGAATAAAGTCTTTCAAAGGCTCAGCGTCGTATCGAGACCCTACTAGCCAAAATGACCGGCACAAGCATAAAACATGATAGAATAGGTGGTTTGCTGAAATCCACTTTAATAAATGGATAAATGCGCTTAAAATGTGCACCTTTCGAAGGAAAATAATTAAACTTATTTTCCCACTATTTACTTTGATATGCTTAAATGAGAGGCACGCAGAAATTTTCGACATGTTTCGAAAGAGTTGGAAAAGAATTGACTTTGTCCAGAAGCATATCACAATTCATAGGCGTGTTCCACAACATCGAAATGTTGCCAAATGTTGCGGCAGGGAGGCATCTGTTCACATTACCCATTGTTCTAAGTTCGTCTGCTAGTGGAGATTTTCAACCGATATGCACGCTTTGATTTGGATGTGAGTGGTCGGGTTCTCGGAATCTTATAAAGTGATCTCCAAATTTGGAACAAACATTCACTCCCCAACACGCTGTGCAGAAGTTGCCGAGGTTTTTGTTTTACAGCATTGAGATGTCAAATGGCGTAGCGACCAAAGCGCTAGCATTGGTCAGTCGTCCACAGTTTCCTTTTAGTTCAAAAATAGTCTGAATCCAACTTTTCAAATAGTGCTTTAAGCAAAATAATTAGGATAAGTAATAGTAATTTTCCATGTATTTTAAAGAGTTTGGCGCATCGCCCTTAAACTTCCCATGTGGCAAGGGGAGAGTCTGTAGTGCTGAACAATGCAGGACTTGGCGTAACTGGTATTACCCAGAAGTGAAGTTGCAATGGCGAAAACCTAAGCGTCAGCCACCATAACTGTGTTGGTCTGCACATTTTTATTGACCTCCAAACGGCTCTTACCCTGTATGGGATTGGATTTCAGAGACTTTGCCCATTGGCAGCTTTAAGAATTCAGGCCTGGAAAGGGTCTTCTGGTACAGGTCAGGGTCTAATTTGACTTCTTCGAAGTCAGGTTTCGTGCCCATCCTCATCTCCACCTTGTGCTCACTTTCAAGTTGCTCACTCGCATCCACTTGTGCTCCCTCCAACCAGTAACCAGATGAGACGGTGTCCCATGTTCACTTCATTGCTAACCTGCCACGAGTACTGCAGACAACTTCGCATGGACCCCTCCGAGTGGTTCATGGAAGATGCTGCTCCAGTTGTTGACAGCATTCCTGTGGGACATGTGAGTAGGTTGGTAGCGAAAGGGTAGAGGTCATTTCCGGATCGACTGTTGTGAGCGTTCACGGATCACCCCATCGACAGCAATATGCCATTCGTTTGCCTCACTAAAGCTAACTAACCACTTATCAGTTTGCTTTCCGCTACCATAAGGGACTGCCGCGCAACTTGTCTACGAGCTGAAGGCAGATTTTGGAGCAAACATATGCATTGCCGGCAAGCTAAAGGACGCCATAGTAACTGGCATGACTCGGAGGCCAACCCACCTAGCTAAGATGCAATGGCAGGTCGGACCAAAGGCTGGGACTGAAAGCTAAACTATTGACTTTCCAAAATATTTGTCTTTCTTGCATAAAATTTGAAAACCAGTTTTCAGACGTCTCATGCAAGTAGCTATATAATAAATAATATGCGAAAATTTGACTAAACCTTGTATCATCTTTGTAAATTTCAGCACTTGCTATTCTAGTGAGGCCCAAAAAAAGGTGCTGCTTTACAGCAGAAAAGCAGAAAAGCGAAAGTCTTTGAAAATCTGAATGCTAATTTGCCACAAAAAAGGGTTTGCATTGCTCTGGAGATCGATGATATTCGAATTCTAGGGTAATTGCTCAGAGATCTCCCATGTGACCGTGGATTGCATGCCTTCAGCAATTAGCCAGATACCACAAGAGGCTGTGTTAGAGGTGATGGTGTTGATGGTGGCGTTTGATGGTGATTAGTTGGTATGCGTGCAAAGCACAATACCTAGAGCGTAAAATAATTGGCTATTTAATGACCATCCATCCTCCACCCTCTCGCCCTAATCTCACGCTACCTAGAGAGGCAGGTACACTGTAGGCGAGCTCTTTTGTCTGCGGTTCGCGTGACGCCCCACTCACGGCGCCGGTCAGCCTTGCTGCACGCAACTTAGGGGCAAGAGGAGGGAAGGGGTGGACAATGCATGGGCATTATGTCTTCTCCCCTCCCCTCTCGATTCTACACCACCCTTTGTGTGTGTGAGACTGCGTGTGCCATCAGTTATTCCATTTCGAGCTTTGCTGGCGGGGTGGGAGAGGAGTGGAATGGGAAGCTGATGGGAGCAGAGATACTACGTTTGAGCCAACAACTAATGACACAATTTATTTATATATAGAGAGAAATATAAGTGGTTTTTCATCCATCGGGAGAAAACACAATGTGCACGCGATTAAGGGAGGAGGTGGTGGCTGTGCTTACTCCCACAAATCTTGGTAGTGGGGGAACAGAAACCCCAAAGCTTGATGGACATTTCCAGTTGATGGATCGTTTATGCGCGTATAGGACAAGAGGGAGTGAAAGAATGAACTGAATGCTCAAATAAGAGCAAAGCATATTGTTTCATTTACAAAATAATAAGCT